CGGGCCAGCTCAGCCCCGCCAGCCCGGCCGCCGCCGCGCCCCCGGCCCCCGCGCCCAGCGCCGCGCCCGGCCTGCAGTTCGCCTGCGCCCGGCAGCCCGAGCTCGCCATGATGCACTGCTCCTACTGGGACCACGACAGCAAGGCCGGCGCGCTGCACTCGCGCCTGGATCTCTGATGGGGACCCGCAGGAGCCGGGCCCCGGGGGTGGGAGGGCGCGGCCGCCCCCTCGGGGGGCCGGGGGAGCGCGCGCTCCAGGGACGGCCGCGGCCCTCCAGCCTCCTCCCGGCTCCCGCGACGACGACGCCGGGTCGCCTCCGCGGCCCCTCCGCTCGCGGCCTCGGCCCTCCGCGCCCTCCCGGCCCGAGGACGCCCCCTCGCTCCGCGCCCTCCGCAGGCCTCTCCTCCCCGGAGCCAGCGCAGCGAGCGAGTCCCCGGCCCCCGTGCGGCCGGCTGCGGTGCCCGAGGCGCTGACCTGGTTTTGGGGCCTTCTCCTCCAGGGTCGTCGGTTGGACTCCAGCTCGATTTTTTTTTTATTTTTTTTTTCTCCCCGCTCCGTCTGCGGCTGGAAGCGCCGGGGCTGCTCCGGTAGCGGGGCCCACGCGGCCCGGGAAAGGAAAGAAAATACTAAAAGAAAAGCGTGTCTGGCCGCTCCGCTGGAACTGCTCAGAAGCCGCCTGCCGAGGGGCCCGCTGGGCGGGGCGGGGGGGGGGGGGGGGCCCCGGGGGGGGCGGGGGCCCCGCGGGGCGGGGGGGGGGGGGGGGTGGGCCCCAGGCTGGAGCAGGGACAGCCTCGTTCCGGGGGTCTTGGACCCGGGTTCACATCCCCGCGCCCCGTGAGGCCGCCGCGCCTCCGCAGCGCACCGCTCCGGGCCCCTCCAGGCCGGGTTGGCTGGCTAAAGTCTTGCTGAGAAGATCCGTGAGGCGTTTGCAGATATCAAAAACTACTTTTTAATGAGGGGGGGAAAGGGGAGAGAATAAAACATTCATCGGGAGAAAAGAAAAAAAAAAAAAACAACGGAGAAGTGTTGTGGCCTTGGAGTTTGCTGAAAAGAAAAGAAAGGAAGGAAAAGAAAACCAAACAAGATCAAAAGCTTTAGTTTTTCTTCGTCGTCCCTGCTGGGAGATCTATGTAGAATTCCCGTGTTGACTTCAGAAGGCTGTGTTCAGAGGCGGGAGAAAAGAACTAGCTAAAAAAGATGGTTTCCACTACAAATCGGGAGCTTTCCTCTTTATTTAAAAGTGAACTCAAAACAAAATTTCCCCGGATCTTCCGATTCTGGCCCTGGACACCAGGAGAGGTCACTGCCTGGCCAGCGCTCGGGGATGAGACTCCCCTCCCGGATTTTTGTTTTTCAAATATCTTGCCTCTTCCACCTTTGGGATGGAGAAATGTGAAACTCTCCACGGCCGGCCGGCCCACACGGCCTGGTGGCCCCAGCCGTCTGGCTCGAAAACCAGTGACCTGGTGGGTTAGTAATGTCTTTCGGGGGACCAAATATTTTAGAGAGAGCTAGAGCACTTTTGTTGTATCTGTATGTGTGCGCGCCCGTCCCTTGTCGATTCCCAAATAAATTTTGTTTTGTTTTGTTTTGTTTCTTTTAACACGGACTTACATTGTTTCTTTTTCGCCCCCCACTTCAGCAGCTAGCTAGCTAAAAGGGCGAGCTCTTCAGCAAAATTGTGTTCTTTTAAAAAGTGACACAAATAAGAGTTGAGGGCAACCGGGGTGGCAGGCGCTTTGGGCTGTCGCTACTGCTTTGTTTTTCTGGGGATTGTTTGTTTTTCTGTGTCATCGCTCGTCTGTTGCGGCTGTTTAACACCGGCAAAGATACAGGTCCCTCGCTAGAAGCTACTGTAGGCAAGGTTTGTTCTATTTTTGCCTCCGTGTAAGTTTACGTCTTGCCTCTTACATAACTGTACTAGGTATGAGCACTGCGTTTTCATTATTATTCTCAAACTTCTAAGAGTTTTTTTTTTTTTTCCGAATCAAATATATTACAATTTGCTTTCTGGGTTTTTTTTTTTTTTTTAATATGAAATACTGATTGCAAAAAGTCTGGAAGCTGCAAGCTTTTTTTTTTTAACAATGTAATAGAGGATTTGTTATACTGTTGTTTTTAATAGTCTGCATTCATTTATCTTGAGATAAGGGTAGGAAATGTGGTGCTTTTCGGGAGGTGGAGTGTGGAAAATGAGCTTTTGTTTTCTCTTTACCGAGCCCTAACGAATTAAGACCCCTGCTCTCATGAAGATGCCAAAGGTGTTTGACCCGGTTGTAGCCTAAATCTCGCCGGTTGATTTGAGGTGTCTTGCCTTCAGTTTTCCAATGGGGTGACAGATATTGGATCTCTTGCCTCGGCTGGGGGCTGGTGCAAGATCCCACGTCCAGTCGTGCCTTTCTCCACCTGTCCTTCTCCCTCCCTAGATAAGAGACAGGTCCAGAGGCATAACCTGGGAGCAGCTGGGAGTTTGGGGGAATGAACCTATAGGTCAAAGTTTCAGCCAACTGAAGGTCTTAACCTTGGGAATGTCGGGGTGGTGTCTAGATTGTGCGTTGCTGGGATTGCGGGGAAGCTGACCAATGCCCTCTCCTCCCCAGATATCTCAGAAGGAGGCTGTAGAGTAAGTGGAGGAGGTTCTATGACTCTCACTCTGCCCACTCACTGCGGGTAGGCTGGAAGGTTGAGGTGGGAAGCCGGGGAGACTGACCAGGTCCAAGGGTGCTTCTGTAGCCCAGTGTCTCAACTGTCTGGTTAAGGGGAGTCCCAGAAAAGACAGTGTTCTGTGTGTGCTTCTTTGCGATTTCTACCTTTCGAATATGCACGCTGTGGATACTTGTCTAGTCTGTGCCCGGTGTCGATGAGTTTATAGAGTCTGTTGTTTACCGGCGGCGGTGGAGTTGGAGGTGTGTGTGTCTGTTATTCTGCAGAAAGCGTGGATCAGATAGGTTTAGGACGCTGTGCTAACCATATGTCAGACATTAGGGAGTGCTCACCAGACCACAGTAATGTTACACTCCTACTTCGGGCTGAGGTGTGCAGTTGTGTTCTGGGTGTATATCTCTGGCCTGCTGAAGGATATGTGTCCTTAATTCCATCTGGCAGAGGCTCGTGGTTCTGGGGCTAGCTGTCAGCACCCCTTCAAACTGCCATCCAGGGTAGAAAACAGGAGGACAGCTTCTGAAGCAGGGCTCTAGGCAGCCAACTCCAGTAAGGAGAAGCAGAGCAGGGCCTGCAGTGGAGAATGTCTCTCTGCACCCAAGAGCTAACCAGCCAGAAACAGCCACAGCTGGGGAGGCTTTGCCAAGTAAGGGAAATTAGATGAAGGAATTACGGAGCTTTCTGGAGTCTGCACAGTGGTTGGAGAAGGTAAGAAAGAGGAGCCACTTCCCCATGGATGCCTCCAGAAAGACATCTGTCTCTAATTCCAGCCCTAAGGGGTTCTCCAAAGCGCTAAAATTTGGTCGTTTTCCCTAGTTGGGGACAACAACAGACTTTCTTCTTCGTCTCAAATTTCCTTCCTCTCTCTCCCTCTTTGCACGTTTGAATTTGTTGGAGAATCTGATTCAGATAATTCCCTAAGTGAAAGCAAAGGTATTCAAGAGTGTTCTGGTGCAGAACAATTATGCCTTCAAATTACACGGCCGGGCTTGGATAGCTAGCAGGCCATGTGGCTGTGTGCCTATGTGTTTGCAGTGCGTTCTATGAATGCAGCATAGAGTCCGATGCAAATATCCTGCCGATATTTAAGGTTCTGGGTAATGAGTTGTTCATCACGGTATTGAATAGTGGGGGGAGGGGGGAGTTGCTTGTGTGTCTGAACAACCTAAATACTGACAGAATGCAGCATTTGCTCGCTTTTATGTTCAAGCTCTTACAGTTATCTTTGTTTTTCCTAAAAATCCTCCAGTAAGTGGGTCGGTGGAAGGGATATCCAGTTCTCTAATGGGATGAGGGACATGTTTTCAACAATGCAAGAGTTACGCTGAGGGATTGTGAGTAGGGGACCTAGGTGGCCATCAACATAGCTCCCCATTCTTGTCCAGTGTTAAGGGGGAGGTATTCTCCGCTTAGGCACCAGTAGAGAGTTCTTGTCTCTACATCCCTGCTTGATGAGCAAGATATCCCGGACCTTTCACCTGAAGTTAGGGGCATTCAGCCTTTGTAGAGAGCCCCCTGGTGGTGGGTAGAAACTGGGGGCAAATCCAGGCTTCATGAAGCCAGGAGAAGATGGGTTTGGAAAGTACCTTGGTGAAGGCTTTCCAACTGCTGGCTCAAATTCTTGCCCCCTCCCGCCCCCTCCAGAAAGGGGTCCCACGGCCTGGGAGTTATTTGGTCAAATTCACAATTTCCACAGTGTCCCCCACTTTATTTAAATAATAGTTAACTATGTGTCCCTTTGGCTGTGTCACCACTGTATGGCAGCCCCCGCTCCTCAGACGACCTGTAGGAAGGGTTGAAATCAGGAGCCAGAACTTCTCTCCCTCTCTCATGTGATAGAACAGAGACCAGGGGCAAGGAGCTGACCGAAGTCCGAGCTTAAGCCCTCCCTTCTGCCCTAATTCTTCAAACAAAGTAAGCCAGGGACTGCGTGCTCTCTGCACAGAGAGGGTTTGAGGCTGTCTCAGAGGAGTGTCTGGATCCAAACTCACACAGCTGAGTGCTTGAAGTAGCCGGTCACAGGTCAGTGCAGCCCCAGAAACCCTCAGAGGAGACCTGAGCAGGTGAGACCAGCTGCCTGCTTGGCTCTGAGAATCGCTCATGCAGGAGAGACACGGATAGGGGCCTCTACATTGGGGAAAGCCCAGCATGGGACCCAGGTGTTCTCCTTTAATAACTAACCCTGGCAAAATATTGATTTCAGGTGTCCGCTCTCTCGTCCATAGAACAGAGGCCATGAATGACACATCTACCAGTGTTTTGCAAATAACAAAATATCTAGTTGAGTGTTGCCTAGGGCTCCAACTCCTGGAAGGAAGGAGAAAGAGTTAGGCCTTCCGTAATAACTCCAGAGGTGCCACCAGCTGTGACTGCCAAGCCACCTATGGACACCGCAGGCACCCAGACAAGACAGCACTTACCAGGCTCCAGGCACAGCTGATGGCATCTGCCTTGCCCAGACCGCCGACCCTGGTGGCATTGAACGCTTGACCCTGAGGGCACAGATGATGAGCTCT